ACGAAATTACCATTTTACCCATGACACCCTCTAGAAGACAGCGCCATAATAGGAACCAGGAGAAGAGCAGACTGGGCGTCACTGACCCAAAAAAAAAAAGAAAAAGTCTTACAACAGATATTTATTTTATTTTATTTTAAAAATTAGGATTTAAAAGAAAAATAACTTAAATTTAGTATATTATTTTTCGGAATATAATAATAATATTATATTTTCTGAATATTTTAAATTACCCAAATATATCATATTAATTAAATTTTTTTACTATAAAATAAAAATAAATTCTATATTTCAAATAAATAGAAAATACTAAAAATAAATTATAATAAAAATATAAAATTATCATATATGTCAAAGTTTGATAAATAATTTTAGTAATCTACCTTTAAAAAAACATATTGTATTGTCATTTTTTAATATAACTTATAATTAATTAATTTTATTACATTTTCGTTAAAATTTTACGATATATATGTATTTATTAAAAAATATATATTATTATTACATACATTTTTATATTACTTTGATTTACATAAAGTTATATTAATTTATAAATTTAAAATTATTACTTATATATTCATTATTAATTATAATTTATACGAACATTCTGTAATTTTATTTTAAAATTTTATTTAGTGTAAAATATTATATTATTTTAAAAAATTTTAATATTATTAAAATATATTTGAAGTAATTAACGATAATTAGGAAATTAAATATTATTACTTAAAATATTAACAGCAGACAATTACACTGCCGTAAAAAAAAAAAAAATTATTAAAAAAAAAGAAAAAAGAGTGATGAATAAAAAAGTATGAGATATGAGATAATCAGACGGTTGAAGATTTGGGGTATCCATGTGGGGTCATGCACATTAGTAGTACCCAAACACTATTTCTCCTGCATAAATCAAATCTAATTTTAAATTACATCACTCATCACGGTACGGTGAGAAACAACAGGTTTGTCAGAACGATGGCAAGTGAACGTGCACTATTTCAAACTTTTCTTCTCACCTACCACGCTCCTTCCTCCGCGCGTCTCGACATTCGCGCTTTAAATTAATTACTGTCCGTAATTTTTTTTTGTAAATTACCCCCGCCCACCGTAAAAGCTCGTATTTACTTTTTAATCTACCAAGGTAATTTTATTGACTTAGTCAACGCCCGTAGTATTATTTGATTTGAACTTTATAATATACACACATATATAGAAATTGATTTGAAGGATGTTGATGGGCGTTTTGTTTGCCTTATTGGGATTTACTAAAATTAGGTGGTGGATGATGTAATAATTTTATTTTATCATTAATTAAAATACACCTATGAGTTTATGGCTTGTTGGTAAGACGTGAGATTAATGGTCCAACAATTGTGTTAATATATAGTATAAAAATATATATTTCTTTTAGTTCTTACCTTATTTAGTATATAAATATCATATTTAATACAAAATAATATATATTAATTTTATGCTATATCAAAATTTAAATTTAAACATATACTATGTATAAGAACATTTATAATTATTGTGACAAAAACTTGCTAATTTATTTAAATCATTATTTTTAAATTATACGTGATTTATTTATAAATAAATCAATTTATTTATATTCATTTGATGTATTCAATATTACTTTCAATAACTGACACTTATAGATAGCTATATTTCATTATCCGTTATTTACAAATATAATTTATATAGTTGCATAAAATATTATTTTATGTAAATAAAATTGTATCAAAATAAAAAAAAAAGTTAATAAAATGATATACAAAATTATCAAATATTAGTTAATGACAAGAAATTGAAGAATGAATCAAATGTGACGAACAAATATGTGATAAATAATTTATATAGTGTATAATTTAATAAGTTATAAACAAGCTATAAATAAATCATATAGAATATATAATTATACTCAAATCATATATAATTATTACGTACTATCATATTAAATTATCTTATTAATTAAATAAATTATTATTGTTATTTATATCATTACATGAATTTTATTTTTATACATTTAAATTTATTTTATATTATAGAAGTAAATAAATAAATATTACATATATATTTTTAAATATAAAATTATTTTCGAATAAATGAATAACACGGGTTAATTATCCATAATATGTATGTATATATATATATATATTAATTGTACATGCATTTTAAATTTTGAAACATTGTATCCACATCATCATTTTTCAAAATTCAAAATATATTTACAAAATTTTTCCAAGTATGTCAATTTTTTTGAAACATTTCCAAAACTATCAACTTTCTTAAAAAAAAAGGGTAAGAAATACATTTTCCACTTTAATTACATACCATCATATGAAAATAAAAGAAAGATGGAACTAAATTTAAAGGCTAAATTCACAAGGAAGAAATGTGTGTATGGACGAGTGTGTGTGCATAAAAAGGAGTTGGGGAAGAAGGGCGTGTGTGGGGTAAAGTCACCAAGTGTTTCCTTTTCAAGGTTTTGAAGCAGATCTGAATCTACTCCCCCCACTTACCCTTGTTTTGTCCAATTCTGTAAAGACAAAAACCCAAGCAAAAAAAGCCAGAGCGACGCAGAGAGAGAAAGAGAGAAATAAAAAATCAAAAAAGAAAGAGAAAGAGAGAGAGAGAGAGAGAGAGAGGTTGGGGGTGAGGGGGAGGGGGGGGGAGTGAAAGTTTTACTCTCCCCAAGACTGCTGCAGGTTTTTGCTGCACACTGCTACCAAAAGTTTTGGTCTTTTAAGTGTTGAAAATAGAGAGAGAAAGAGTGGGAAGTCAGACCAGAACCACCTAGCAGAGCTCCACTCTCTTCTTCCGTCTTCCTCTCTGTGTTTTTCTATCTGGGTTTATCTCTTTTGGTTTAATAATCTTCGTCGTCTTCAACCTCTGAACTATACTGTACTTGGGTTTTTTTTTTTTTTTTTTCTTTCTGTTTGTTTGGAGGGAAAGAAAAAGTTTCACCTGCTTTTATTTCGGGGTTTCTCTGGTTTTTTTTTTTCATTTTAATTATGATAGTTTCTTTTTATTGGATATCATTATGTTAAAATAATAAGAGCATAATAATAAAAAGTACCAAGTCACACCCATTATTGATTGCCCTTTTGAAACAAAGTCCAACTTTCCACTCCTTACCCTCTTCTCCTTATCATTTAATCTCTCTCTGTCCCTCAGTCTTTACTCTTCACTCTCTCTTTCTCTCTCTTTCTCTTTCTCTTTCTCTTTCTCTCTGGAAGGGAAGCTTTTTCTGGAGTGGGTGACAGTGGTTGTGGAGTTCAGCAGCCATGGATTCCTATGAAGCAACAAGAATGGTTTTTTCAAGGATCCAGAATCTGGACCCTGAAAATTCTTCGAAGATCATGGGTTACCTTCTTATACAAGACCATGGAGAGAAGGAAATGATTCGTTTAGCGTTCGGACCGGAAGCTCTGATTCATTCTTTGATTGCTAAAGCCAAAACCCATTTGGGAATTCCTTCGAACACTTCATCAACACCTTCGACTCCTTCTTCTTCTTCTCCATCTCCCTTTCAGAGACCTAATCCTCTTGTTCTTAACGCTTCTGGTATCAGTAATAACGTTAATGGCTTCGACATTACAAACCCATCTTCTCCTTCTACTCACTGGCCTCTCACCGATCTTCGCAGCCCGACTTATGCTAACATTGTTAATGGAACCAGCAACCCTGGTTCTGGTTCTGGGTCTTTGTCGTCTACTACCGTATCGTCTTTAACCTCTGCATTTCCTTACTATAACAACGCTAGTAGCTTTGCTGGTAACTGCAATGACTTCATTGATGATTACCAGCTTCAAGATCAGCCTTCTTTTCTCAACGACTCCAAAGCTGACGATCTATTCGATCCGCGTCTTGATTTAGCTGTGAGTCCGGGTCCCTACGGTGAGTCTCCTTTGCACAGGCGGAGCTTCTCGGTGCCCGGCATGTGTTTCGGGTCGGAAGATATGAACTCCGGCTTCGGCTGGAAGCCGTGCTTGTATTTCGCCCGAGGGTTTTGTAAGAACGGGAGCAGTTGCCGGTTCCTTCATGGGGATTCAGCTGATCCTTCCGCCATTGTTGGTTCACCCAGCAAGCTCAGTGAGTTTGAACAGTGCCAGGAGATACTCAGATCAAAAGCTGCTGCGCAACAAAAGCTGGCTGCGGCTTCTCAATTCATGGCCGGTGCTTCCTTCCCCTACAACAAATGCATGAACTACTTTTTTCAACAACAAAGTGACTCCCAAAGGTGGGTATATATATATCTATTTTAAGTATATATGTATTTATGCATACTTCTATATATCTTTGTACATATTGAGATGGGTTCATGCTCATTCTGGAGAAGTTGATGTTAATGGAGTTGAGTCTTCGAAAATTTGGTGATGGGTTTTTCAATGTGGCACCGTAAATGCTATATTACAGATCAGCTGCAGCTGCATTGATGATGGGGGATGAGCTGCACAAGTTTGGGCGGTGTAGACCAGAAAGGAGTGATTTCTCTGCAATGGGATTAGGAGTGAATCCTGGGTCTAGACAGATATACTTAACATTTCCAGCTGACAGTACTTTTAGAGAAGAAGATGTATCCAATTATTTCAGGTAAGTTAGTCTGGATCACACCCTTTTCTTCCATTTGAGCTTTGACCAATTTAAAAAACTGAACTTTTATTTTCTATTTTCCATCTGGTTAAATCTGGTTTCCCTTTTGTGGGTATGTTTTGTAGTATTTATGGACCAGTTCAAGACGTGAGAATACCATACCAGCAGAAGAGAATGTTTGGGTTTGTAACATTTGTATATCCGGAGACAGTGAAGCTCATATTGGCCAAAGGGAACCCTCATTTTGTCTGTGATTCTCGTGTGCTTGTCAAGCCTTATAAGGAGAAAGGAAAAATTCCAGAAAAGTATAAGCTTAATCCTCACCATAAGCCTTCACCATTTTCAAGTTGCCCACTTTCTGCATTAATGGTTTCTTGTTAATTGATCAATTGTAGGAAGCAACAGCACCAACAGCAACAGATGGAGAGGGGAGAGTATTCTGCGTGTTCAAGCCCTTCAGCCCTTGATTCTTCCCGCGAACCATTCGATCTCCATCTTGGTAAGCAAACAAGCAAGAATTCTATTCGGTTTATATCCAGTTGTAGCTGTGAAGTATTGTGAACTTTCTTTTGGGTGCCAACGCAGGAGCAAGGATGTTTTACAACACTCAAGAGATGTTGTTGAGAAAGAAATTAGAGGAACAAGCTGACTTGCAGCAAGCTATTGAGCTTCACGGAAGAAGACTAATGAATTTGCAACTACTAGATTTCAAGAACCATCAGCATAATCATCATTATCATCATGGTTTATCTAGTGGGTCTCCCATGCCTTCTCCAACTCTGGCTACCACTCCCAACAATCAAATCCTCATTTTTCCTGCTGATAGCATTGATCAAGAAGTCCCAGAAGGTTAAATATCATCAGTCCCTAATCAACATTGCCATTTACATTTCCTCCATGATTATGTACATTCTTTAAGATATTGATTCGCATTGTATGGATATATTAGAAAATGGTGGCAGCCCAGTTGCAGCTTCCAAGGCAGAAGCTGCTGATAAGCCGCAACAGCAGCAAGAAGTGAAGATAGCTTGTAATCACAACAATGGAAATGGAAAGAATATTGGTATTAAAGAGGAAAAAGCTAATAATGAAGAAAATGATCTTCCAGAAAGGTGTGAAACAAGATTTTTTATCAGTTAACATTTTGTTCTTGTCGCAATCTAGTATCTTGAGCTCATTGTTTCTGTTGAGTGTTTCTTATTCTGATCGTTCTTATTATGATCGTTTACCAGTTTAGAGCACATTCTCCCTGATAACCTCTTTGCATCGCCAAAAAAGTCAGCCGGTGAACATGTCACAGCCTTCTCCACAGACACTGATGAAAAATGTGCAACTTCAACTACATCATGTTCTTCTGATAACCCTTCCATGCTCACTTCTGCAATGACTACTCCACTTAAATCATGTTTTCTTCAAATGTCCAGGTACTTTCTCTGCATCCAAACACTCTTTGCTTTTCTGAACTTATAGATAGTCAGGATAAAATTTAGTTATAATTGTTGTTGTGTTTGGTCATAAAGGTTCCCTTCTGGGCATGGAACCATTGGCATGTAGTTGGCAAGAAGTTAAAGCATGGCCAGCAATTGGGGATTGACTCTGTTAGGGTAAGAGGTTATATGATTAATCTTTTATATCTAAAGAACACTATTATGCATCTGGGTCATTGTGGTTCCATAAGTATTAGAATATAAGATTTATCAATTAGCACCCAATTTGTGATGTTTGGCTATTTTGTGCTGTATTTTTGCAGATACATACTGGGAAGCATATATACTAGCAAGGAAGAAAGTAAAAATTTGAGGAAAAAAAAAAGAAAATCCTCTAGCTGTATAGCCAAAACTATACCCACAACAAAGAAGAAAAAAGATCTGTAGACAAGATCTCAGCAAGATCACCATCATCGTCAATACATACTTCTTACAATGAATACATAATGCATAGGTTAAAGACAGATGAACTGATTTATGGGAGTGGGGTCTCTCCTTTCCTATATAGTGTATTGTGTACCTCTCTCTTTCTCTCTCTCTCTATCTCTATAGGTGAGTGTGCTGGACTGGACCACTCAAGCAGCAGGAAGCAGTCAGAAGTGCAGAACAAAGACTAGTAACTCTTATTATCATCATCATCATCTTCATATATTGTAATTTACTCTTTTTCACTTTTTTTTTTTAAAGTTTTACTGTTTACCCTCCTATATATGTGAGGTGAAAAAAAGAAATTATAAAGAAATGAACTATGTTCAGAGGAAAAGAATAGATTTATGTCAGTGTATATGTGTATAAAGATAGGGCAGTGGTGTTAGCAGAAGTATAACTACTATACTGATATGGAGAACCCAGAAAAGAAAAGTTGAGAGTGTGATGATTCGTTTAAGTGGAGGGTAAAAGCTGTGTTATTTTTCTTGTTGTCACAGTATCTGTCTGTCAGCCATTAGGGTTAAATGTGAGAGAAAATGGGGAAGAGGAGAGAATAAAGTTGTTTGGAACCAAGAGAAAAAGTTAAAAGAGAAAATGGGTAAAGGAGAAAGAAAAGAAAAGGTTGTTTCTTTCATGTGATTAAAGTTTACTTTAAGGGACTCTTTTGTCTCATTTTGTGGCTTCTTTTAGGTGGACATGAATGGCTAAGGGCCACACCATCACATGGGTTCTGACATTGTTATATCAATGGTATCTGGCTACCATGCACTCCTTTCACTTTCAATTTTTTTAACCTCATTCACAATACATTTCATATATAATATTATATATATATATTTATATGTTTTCTGATTTGTTATTTTACTTAATTAAATGTATGTCCTTTTACATAATTATAACTAGATCTATCAAATAAGTTCCTCTCAATCTCTCCTAAAGATTGAGAGATAACTAGATCTATCAAATAAGTTCCTCTCAATCTCTCCTAAAGATTGAGATACAACGAAATAGTATGGCGATCTAACGGATGAAGTCTTGGTATTTACTTAGAGAAGTTACTAGTTTAAATCGTAATGAAATCGTAAAACTTGTTATTTTGTGAGCGAATTATAAGTCAGACGATAGTTTGTTTATAGTTTATAACTTAGATCATAAATTGCCTCATTCTCTCTTAAAGAATTAGAGACAAGTAGATCTATCAAAATAAGCTAGTTTTGATGAATGGTAGGGTGATCTAATAGATAAACTCTTTTGTATTTTTCGTAGAACTCATTAGTTCAAATCATAACGAAGTTGTGAAATTTGTCACTTTGTAAGTGTATTATGAATTAACATTACTTTATTTATACTATTTGATTCAATGAGTTTAGAGTTTAGTTCATAAGTATGTTGACGGAACTGCGATATTTATATAACTTAATTGATCGCGGTGGCAATTTCGTCTTAAATTATTTTTGATGGGTCTACATGGTTTCGTTGTATTTGAGTGTACTTGAACTCCCTTAACTATTTGCCATGTTCAAAGATGCCCCCTCACCACACAAAAAAACCTCTGTGGGGCTCTCATTTGGATATTCTATTTGCTTTAAAGACTTTGTTGGTGGTTGTGGAGTCTTAATTCAAAAGCTTAACATCACATAAAGTATGTTATGATCTTACCAAATTTTCAATTTAACTCAAAAAAGAAAAAAAAAAAAGAAAAGAGTTTCGATTCACACAAGTTTTGAAGTTCAATTTCTCTCGAAAATTATATACGTATGACCCGATTTTAGCTTGTTCTAAGTTTATTACCACCAATCGAAATTAAATTCGCGACCAAAATCAAATTAAACTTGAATAAAAAATATAATTTTATGCTTAAAATGAACTTTAAATACTCAAAGCATTTGTTAGATGCCCTGAGAACCAAGATTGGAAATTTAATCAGATTTGATGAGTAAAAACCCAATTTCCAAAAAAAATTAATTAAGGGTTTTTCCATTTTCAAGTTCTAATTACATAAGAAAATATATATATGTATATATATATATATATATATATTATACATATATACCCATGTGATGTGAGCGAGGGTTACAATGTCATCATCTTTTTCCCTTCAGTGCAAAATTAAAATTGAGCTGGCCACCTAAAACTTGCAAGTAAAAAGCCCATCTTGTCTCCCAATTTTGTTAATTAATTAAAGCTTAATTAACATTTAATTAATTAACTAATTAATTAATTAATTAATTAATTAATAATGGTTCTTGTTGTAGTATCAAGTGGGATGTCTAAATCATTGTTCAAAAAAAGTAGTGCTGTCCAAATCAATGTAATTTTTGTCCATATGGGCCTCCACTGCCAACTTGATGGTCTTGATCCTTACAATCTACATGGCCCTCCCCTCTCCTTTTTTTTTTTTAAAAAAAAATAATAATATAAAGTTCTTATATACATACGTAAATTTTATTATAAGATCACAAATTAAATTTAATATAAAAACATTTCGATTTTACATAAATTTTTTTTTTATAAATTAATATTTGCCATCTTTAAATATTATAAATCTATTACAAAATGTAGTGGTCTAATTAATTACGTCAATTGAAAAAGGATTAGAAATTAATTAATTTTTTTTTTCAAATATAAAAATTGTTTTAGAACGGTCGTCGAACTCTTGGAGATTTGTTTGTGTGTGACCGAATGCAAGTGGCACGGCGTCGTTTTCGTACTGTTGGATTTTGGGGTCTGCGTTGTCAATTTTCATTCAGAAATTTGAATAGTTGCTGCTGGGCCCAATAATACGTTAAACTAATTACGTAATAATAATAATAATAATAATAAGTTTATGTAATTTGGTTAATGTAATCTAATTTTATTACAGAGAAAAATAATTTGCTATTTTGGTGTTTCAAATATATATTATGTTTTTAATTTAATTAAATGTTTTATAATTATTATAATTAAATTATAAATGTAAAAATATTAAATACTTCAATTCGAAAATTTTAAATTTTGCAAGGTATTTAAATTATGTCAGGAGTCTAAATTCAATTATTAATGCCGATAGCAATAAAATATTAAAATAATTTTTTTAAAAAAATAATAGAAATTAAAAGAATAAAAAAACAATATATTTAAATTAATAATAATAATAATAATAATAATAATAATGATAATGTACAGCCAATAGGCCCGTTCTTTCTCTGTAATTTACCGCAAAAAAATGTTAGAAGACGTCCAAAAAGCTCGACTCCGCCATCCATGGAAATTCAATATGAGGCTGTAGTTTTCTTCCCGCCGTGGCATCTCTCTACGCTCTCTTTCAGCACACAAGCGAAACAAGTAAGTACCCTTCTGTTTAGATCCATCTGTAATTTGGTCTGTCTTGGAGGAATTTAATGAAAACGTAGACTGAACAAAAAGAAATTAAGAGAAGGTTTTTTGCTAATTATCTTCCTGGAGAACAAAATAGACGTTAGTTGTATACACGTACTTTCTCAGGGTTTTCTTGAAATTCTTGGTTTTAGTACTATTCTTTGTCATAATCTTTTTCTTGGTATCGTATTATCTTAAATGTGCTTTGCGTAGTTTAGGGGAACAGAGGTCACTGATGAAAGGATAGTTATGGAAGTAGCTATGGATCAAATTGAATATTGTGCAGCAGATGTGAATTTTGATTGTAATACTCCGAAAGAAGTTGCTTCTTTGGTTCTTTATGCTCGAATATTTTCTTCCAACAAAAACTCCAATCTGCTATTTGGAATTTATGTTGTCGAACCAGATCACGACTTTGAAACTTCACTTGCTTGGTTGTTGAGGAATCCAATATAAGAAAAATTGATTACGGGAAATTATTTTCTTATGGCTGCTGCTTTTTAGCTTTTCTTCGTTTATTGATATTCTGCATATGAGAATAGGGACCTAGGTACTGATTGGGAAGATTTCTTTGTGAATACAAGGCGTTCTTACCTCAACAGAATTTCCCAGCTGTGTCTTTACAAGTAAATCTTTCAGTTATGGTACTAATCAGATGAACAAAAGCTCTGAAGATATTTTCTTCGAGGACCAAAATGTTCATTCATGTTGTCTGTTACTTTAGTGGCATCTCTTTAATCCTTTTTCATTCTTTACTTAGTTCTCTTTTGCTGATTAAATGACAGAAAATGACAGTTTAAACTTGGAGCCGCGTTCTTTAGTAAATATCATCGAAGACAAGGCTGTAAATCCAAAATTACTGACCAAGCTTTGAACTGAAATACTTTCCTGTTGTGTGTTTAATTTGTTCGATTTAGAGTCTCACTAGATAGGATAATCCTCATAACAAACCTAAGCTTTGTCCCAAAAATACTTTTTGTTGTATGCTTAATATGTTCAGTGTAGTATCTCACTCATAGTAGCAAGACTATCTGTTCACAGGATTTAAGCAGATATTAAGACTTCCTCATCATTTTTAATGCATTTACACTTTTTTGTTTTTCCATATTAATTATTTCTTGTGGTGTTTAAGCAATTACTTTTCTTCTGCTAGAAACATGTATTTTGGACTATGGTTTTTTCTAGCTTGTAATATTCAGTTTTTAACTTAGATTTAATATTAGAGGTCACATTTGAGGGCCATATGATATCATAAGAGGAATCCCCAGTTTCACCTTTTGGTTGAACAACTCAGACTCCAACCCAGATTTTTGTCAAACACTGTTAATTTAATCTCATACTTTTAATGACTAAGAGCTTCTGTTCTTCCAACAGTATTAGTGTTTCTAAAGGAAGCACAGAAATGAGTTACCATTCTCAGAATTGAAATACACTAATGTAATAGGTCAGGCAAGAGTCTCCATAATTTGGTCAAGTTAGTGAGAATGATTTTGTCAAGGAAGTTATGTTTAGTTTGGTATTCATATGTTGAAGTGCATTCTTCTGCTTAAGCTACGTTCAGTTTCCTTAGGGTAGTTCTAGAATTTTCTGTTGCAGATAGAATACACTGCTCTGGTTTTCTCCTATTGTGACATAGATGTATCAGGGTTGCTTGTAAGGGTTGTCCAGCAGCTGTACTTCAACATTTTTTTGGAGTGAAAATATTAAGTAGCAATTGATCTCCAGGTTTGAATTTCTTCCTTAACTCAAAATTAGTTGGTTTCTATGACAGGCTCTCTCTTGTATCTAAATAGGCCAGAAAGTTAGAAAAGTCGGACACTCTAACTCTTAGAGCTTTTAGTAATTAAAGTCATAATTGGATCCAAAACTAGAGACCAAAAACTATTCAATTTCTCATATCTTCTTGCTGTGTTGTCTTATATGCTGTTCTGTCTTTGGCTAAAGTTAGACTTGTGGTTCCAGATAATGTGTCTTTTGTTCAACTGTCCACCTTTTGATTCCGCAGAAGATTAGTGCCTATTTGATCCGGACTTCTGCTTTTATTTTTACTGCCAGAAAGCAGAAGACTGTTAGGAGCTTCAGACATGTACTCCGCTGTTAACTTGTGTGAGATGGTGAATGAGAGATAGAAGGTTTTAGAGATGAGTAGAAAGGAGAGAAAAGAGAGTCTTTAGTGTTGGAATGAGAGAGGAGCAGGAAATGAGAAGGTGAGAAGAGAATTTTTAGAAGGATTCTAGAGACTGCTAATTAATTCAGAAAAGTTGGTTGGCAAATTGTAGTATGCCACCATTTGGTACAGTCTTCATATTTCTACTTTCACCAGTACAAGAGCAGAAAATCCAACAGGACAAAGTAGCAAAACAGAAAATTCTGATAGTACCACCGACAGCTGTATAACTAACCAGCTAACAAATCCTGAAAGAAAAATCTTTTATGCTGTTATCCTTAATAGGGGAATTGCATTAGATCTAGAAGGGCCCTTGCATGCATGTACCTAATAGAACTGAAAATAGCAACAAAAGAAACTGAAAACATTCACTTTATCTGCAGACAGATATGAATAAAAAGATTAACGGGACAAAGCACATTATGTTTTGATCGCATAAGATTCCAACTAAGTATGCCCATTTACTTACTTCCTGTGGGCTTCTTTGCTATCAATGCATCGTATTCCTCTTTCATACTGTTGTATTTCTCACTCAACTTCTTGAAGGTTTCTTTTTTCTCTTCTGGAACTTGCTTGTTAGTCTTCTCTAACCGGAGCTTTACAGATTCAATTTGTCTTTTTAGCCCCTGAATCTTCAATGTCTTCTCCTCATTTTCTTTCTGTAGGATTTCCAACTCTGATGGCTTGTTGGCTGAAATCTCTGAGGAGATTCAAATTAAATGAAGGTATATTTCTTTGTTGAACTATATTTCTTATTATCAGAAATTTGAGAATTGAGATGCCAGATCAACTTAACTTACAATTTTGATAGAGTTCAATGACTTAACTTTATTGAGATATTAGAAAAATGGTTAACAAAAGGTAACAATAAAGTTTCTCACAAAAGGTAACAATATAGTCTCTCACTATTATTGCTGAAAAGAATGCATAAACAGTTTGGAATCTTGATGTGTCTTCCACTTGGCCATGTTTAACGTTATCCAGGGGAAAGAAAAATGCTGTCAATTATTTATCTTTAGGTAAATATAACTACATGTATATTCTAATAAGAGAATATGTGTCATGAAAAACCTATTTATCTGACAAATGCATATAAAACAAGAGTAGAAAATGTTGCTACCTGGGAAATTGTATGAACTGCCAGTGTTACCTTCCATGACTCGACAGCTTCCTGGGGAAAAAGGCGGCTGTGACATTATAAGCCGTATAATAGAAGGAATAAGAATATTTTATTCTTGCTAGCTGAACTATTTATGCTTAACTAAAGAGAAAATGGTTAGAAAATTTTGTTCCTGCTCACTGAACCTTCTATGGTTTCTGAACCAGATTGTAGTAAGAGAATATGAGCTATGAAAGAAATTATTTATCCGACATATATGAACATTCTATGATGATTAAAGACTTAGTATTCCTTTATACAGTTCATCTCTCTTATATATATTGCCTTTTAAACACATGCACTATGCCTAATCCTTATCATACTCTGTTTCTCTTTCTCCAGGACCTATCTATCTAATTGAAGCTCCTCTAGAGAAAGAAAACGCATAGAGCTGAACAGTGGTGGCATCATAAAGCAGTTCCATGGACGAAGGTCCTGACTTTCTACGTGGTAACATGTTCTGTCTTCGTATTTTCTGTTTGTTTTTTTTTTTAATTAAAAAAAAAACCACTGTGGGAGTCCAAATTTACTTTGGTATTTTCCCATTCAATGCACAATTTTCAGTCACGTATAACCTAAAGTATTTCTTAATATTCTTGGACTTAGCCTACCAGAGTACAAAGGGAATAAAATCTTGGACCACCACCCTGAGATGGGAGGACGGTGGCATAATGCCCAATGGAAATGAATTTGTATTGAGAATAGTCAAAAACCAGCTCTAGCACCCTACAGCGAGCATCACAACTTTTCTTTTGAAACAGCATGTTAAATTACATGTAATAATGGGAAAAAAATACCATAAAATGAAAAATGAGTGGAGAACAAATTACCCGAATAATGAAGAAAGAAGCCTAAGAGGGAGAACGGTGGGAAGGTTGCAATCGAGTATTTGGTTACGGTGAAGGGTAGGGATTTGGGAAAATTTTTTCCAGAAAATCCAAAATGAAAAAAAAAAAATTGAATAATAACAAAATATATCGGCTGACCAAAAGGTGTAATTTGGGTCACTTTATACAACTCAATAGCCCAACCTGATCTTTTAAACCAGTATCGGACAGGATACGGTTTTTCCAGCTTGTACATTTGAGATGGGCTGAACCTTGAGCAATCTGATTTCACACTATCTATATTTGTAAAGATATCTCGATCACATCCAGAACTTCTCTTTCTATCGTTTGTTCTATATTTGGAACATAAAATGGATATGATTTTCCATCTTCAAACTATAGCAGTCTGTATTATTGTATATCTTAGAAGGGTGAATTTTGCTTCTAGTTAGAAATAAATCATGCAAAACTACTCCTGGAGGCATTAGCTTAGGTATAACATGTATGAATCATGAGAAAAAGTACAAGGGAAGACTTGAAAATGTTCAAAGAACTAGCACTTTGGTACATTAAAATATATTCTAATCATTACTTTTACAATTTATATGTGGTTATTCATAGAAGGATGCACGAGAAAGGGTGTCTTTTTAGTAATCAAGTATGAAAAAAAAAAAAATCTTCTAGAGAACACTAAAAATAAATTTTATCCTTTTCAAACTTCATCCGCATTTTAACTATCATTTCCTATATCATTTTTACATTACGTAGTTTACGTGTTTTTATTTTTGACATAAGTTTACGTGTTTTTATGAATAAATGTGTAGAAATTAGAAAAATATTCATGTATTAAATAGAGGCCAAATATTCCAAAAGACATATGAAGATGTTGCAGAACAAAGTATGAATTAGCTCATGAGTACTCAAAAACCAGTACAAACATTGATAGTAGGGCTTCTATATTATAACTGCTGTCAGTCATGAACTTAATCCTTGCACTAATGGCTGCCATTTATTTGGCACTTGTGCAAAATAAATAATGAATTAGTCAATGAATAAGCAAATTCAGTAAAAAAAAACCATTTAAGAGATAAAACAAATGGCATAAACGAAAATAAAAAGGACGTACAGGGAGAGGAATAATTTTTAGACAATTTGTGTAGAAGAAAGAAAATCTAGAAACAAAATACCATTGAATTTTTATTGTTTTTAAGATCTAAATAATTCTTCAGTTGTCTGATGCATGTTTGACACGTCTTTAACAGGATATCCTTGGTGATATAATGAGCACCACTACACATGATCATTGCAGCATAAATACAGCATATACAATACTACACCAGGATATACCAGCACTGTAGGTTATTAAGAATTGTTTTCTATTCATTATGCATAAGGTGTTGTTGTCTAGGTTAGCTCCTTTACATGTCAACTAATCCACCTAGCTGACTATCTATTTCCTAAGTAGGAAATCTGAGGAATTGTCTAAGATTCTAACTGGATGACTTTTGAGAAAGCAAATCTCATCTGCTTCCTTGAGCAAAATGCATATGGTTAACATATGAAGCAAATAGGAACTTTTCGTAATGTACTTTTATGTTGGTTACTAGTGCATATCACACCTACAAACCTCCATGGAACTGTAAAACTTGTTACTTCCTATTTCCTACAATGCCTGCTAATAGTTACATTGCTAAATATATTTCTATAGGTTTTTTCTACCCATGATGACTTCTAGGTTAACACATGAAGCTAAAACAAAAACTTTGTAAATTGGAACAACTTTTTAGGTGAGAATTTTACAGTGTTGAATGATAAACTAACCTCTCAGTCAATGTAACCCCTCAAGCAATACAACTTCTCTTTCCTTTGAGGTGGCTCTTACACTGAAAAAAAAGTCTTTGTGAGGTATGCGAGTGAATTGCGAGTTCTTTTCAGTTTATATCTACAAGGTATATCATGCAGGTTGGCTACTTGGCATATGAG